AATGAGGGCTTTGGCTGATCAGCACTCTGCTGTACTGCAAAGGGAAGTTGGTGGGGCGGGGGCGGGGGGGGGCGGGTCTACTAATGAAGACAACAGACAATTTCAGTATGTATAGTACCAGTCCACTAGAAGGGGCCTTGGAGAAAAAACAGTATCCCCTGCAATAGTGCAAAGGAGGTACAATAGTCCTGGAAGTGATAGGGATATGGAAAACAGCAATTCTGCACATTAACTGTCCAAATGTAAAGGTCTCAATAGTAGGTGCTACCTACTAGAAGGCAAAGGAGGTTGGGGGTATGTTGTGTGTCAGTGTCCTTGTCTAGTGAACAAGAACCCAGACAAATGCAATTACGCACATTAATCGGCCAAGTAAAGGGGATTTAGGGTTCAGCAACTATGGTATACTGTCAACGGAGAGCAATAGGGTAGGATGAACCAAGTTGAAATTGTGTACATTAATGTCCAAGGGATATGGTATAGTTAATTAAAACCTTGTACCTTGTACCAATATAAAAATCTTAAAGTAGTGGGCACTCCTTGCTAAAAGGCTAAGGGAATAAGGAGAGGGGTGTCCTTATCTGGTGTACAAGAACATGTACAAATGCAATTATGCACAATAAGCCATGAAAAGATACCTTTTCATGTGATCAGTACCCTTGCTATACTATAATAAGGGTCTGAGAGGATATAGTATCTTATTCAAATGGGATGAGCCATGTGAAATTACACACATTAATGTCCCAGGTGTAAGGCTGTAATCAACTATAATTTCACACCTTGACTGTCCAAGTGTTAACAGTCTTGTGCAGAGGGCACTCAATGCTGAAAGGGAATAAGGAGAGGAGGTGTCATTGTCTAGTACACAGAAACCCAGACAAGCACATTCACATTAACGAGCTAAGAAATGGGTCCTTCAGAGTCAGAATCCCTCTGGTATTTCAAAGGGATTGAAATCAGAGGAAGGATTCTAATGTAATTATTATACACATTAACAGTTTGAGAAAGGGGCCTTAAGTGGACAGTACCTCACGCAGTAAAGCAAAGAGGGTGTGAAGAGTCAGGAACCCATCTTAATTCGAAAGATTATGGACAACTAATTAAACATATCCATAGTCCCAAGAGAGGGCTTTAAGGTCAGTAACCTCTGCTTCCATAAGTGCAAGAGATTGAAAAGGCACAGTTATGGACTACTGAGAGTGTGTACAAGATAAAAGTTGTGTACATTAACTGCATAAGTGTGTAAGGTCTTTAGTAGTAGGCACCTCCTGCTAGAGTATAAATATGATGGGGGAGTGGCCTTACCTGCTGTACAGGTACAGGAGCAAATGTAAGTATGCACATTAACAGTTCAGGAGAAGTGAATCTTGGCCTAGTCAGAAGCCCTTTGCAGTAATAT